AGTTCCCCGGAGCCGCCGGAGCCCACGCCAGGCCCCTGCCCCACCTAGCCTTGCCTCATCTCGGAGCTTACCTTCAGCTCCTCTCCCGGTGCGTGACCTTGAAAAGGCTGTGCGCGGCCAGACTTTTAGTTGTGCACAGCTGCGCACACGTGCACCTTAGAGGGAACCTTGGCTGTAGGGGACAGGATTGAGAGCGATGCCCTCAAGTGCAGCAGAGGACATTTAGGTTGGAGAGCATGAGGGTGGTCAAGCATTGTAATAGGTGACCTAGAGAAGCTGTGAAATCTCCATTCTTGGAAATTTTCAAAAGCAGGCTGGACCGACACTTGGCTGGGATGATTCAGTCTGGGACAACATTTTCTTGAGCATAGTGCTGGACTAGAGGACCTTGTCCAGCACCTCCTTTCCAGCTCTACTTTCCTATGAGCCTAAGATTTAGGAGAACCGGAGAAAGATGTCTTATGGGATCCTAAAAGTTCAAGAAGGAATGCAAACTAAGGAATATAAAGGAAACCCCAGTAAAGGGGTGAAAGCTAAGAAATAATGGATTGCTTCAGTTGTGTTGTCAGAGTACTGTATACAAAGTCACACTGGCAGATTATCAGCTTTTCAAAGATCACACCTAACATGTATCTGACCCCAAAGGTTGGTGCTGTGAAGTGAAACAGTGCATGCTGAAGCCTGCAACCACATTCCTATAATAAAGATGAAGGAGATCTCATGCACTCTGGCCTCTGTGTTTAGTTAGATAGATGGAACTTGATTTTGCCTCATAAAGTTTCTGTAAACCTGAAATGAAACTCTACATGTGAATGACTATGAACGGTTCAGACCTGGAGCCTCCTGTGTCTGTAACAGGCAGCCCTGTTCCCTGGTACTTCCCATTTGCTGCTTTTGCCACGACTTTTGCATTGGTTTGAAAACTCACATTACTACCTACTTTCAAAATAAGCAATGCTGCTAGAAAACCTACTATTCCATGTTCTGCCACTGACCTGTTATGTGACTTAATTCATTAATGTAGCTAATGAGCTCAGACAGTAGGCAATGAAAGTATAAAGCAGTGAATTAAACCTATAAACCTGATTCAATACAGCTCTCACATCTTCACTTTAAGCCCATGAATAGCCCGGTTATTTTCAATAGAACTATCCATGTGCCTAGAAGTCTTGCTGGATAAAGACCTGCTAGGGTCTTGGGAGGAGTATCAGTTGCCCACATCATTTTGTAAGCCACCTGAATGGTGATGTAGAAAAGGATGCCATCACCCTGCCTTTTCCCTAGCCCGGTGATTAATGCACTGTGTAGCACAGGCATCTTGGCACTCTCTCATGTTTTTGTTGTTTTGCAAGCTATCAACAGCAGGATTTGCTCTCCTGAACCGCAAGAAATACAAATGATGGGTTTGTTTGTGTTTAGCTAATTAGATGACTAGCTGAGCTGGTATCACGCAAGCTGGCAGTTTCTCTTACTAAAGCAGACCCAGCTCTGTTAATTGTTCAAGTCATTCACATGAGCCACATACTTCAATGGGCTTGTTGTTACCAGTACATCTTGCAAGATCTTGTAGGTAAAGATGGATTCTTCATCGTATGTAGTAATGTATGGAATACAGCTTTCACAGCCTGTACTTTTAAAGAGTGGATTGCTTACTGAAGCAAAGTTGAGAAAAGAATAGCAATCCCAAAAAGGAATCCAGTTTTAGAGGGTACCACAGAGCATCCGCGAAACCTGGAGTCTGTTCCTCTAACTCTGGGGAGATTTTTCAGACATAGTCACTGATTTTGCATGCTCTAGTGGAGACATCTAAGATCTGATTTTCGGAGGTGTTTAGCACTGATAACTTCCCTCGGCAGCAGCGAATAGTGTGGGTGCTCAGTCCTTCTGAGAATCAGATCTTAAGTTGCCTCATAAAAAAGTGTTGCTCAAAATCACCAGCTGCTTTTATTGTGTTCTCTAGAGTGAAATGATTTCAACCTTATCATATGGATCAAGGTTCATAATACAATGATGGCAATGGCAAGCACAACTATTTCAATAGGCAATAGCTGAACCTGCCTTCTACATTTCATCAATGCTAGCCAGTTTTTTAACATTTGCATGTATATTTCTGATAACATTTGTACAACAGCCAAAGCTGGTGAATTATATCTTTATTTTTATTCAGTAGCGGCTTACAAAGGTGCAGTGAATTACAACAGCACGCCAGGAAAATTATTTCCTTCCCATAGCCAAGCCAAGTAAGTTTGCTTTGGGGTGTGAAGAATGGACAAAGCTCACTGCATTATGTCCAAAATTAAAAAGCACTTAGTTTCATGCTTAATTTTTAAGTTGTACATAATGTCACTGGTAGTTAAACAGTTAAACATGTATTTATAATTAAACATTTGTTGAAGCACTATGCTGAACTGGAGTCTCACATGCTGAACTGTCAGAGGTAGAAGCAAACAACAGGTGAAAAGTGCATTAAATGTTTTTGCTAAAACAATAAAATGTCTATATTATGGAAGAAAGGAAGCATTTTGGTTAATTTTGGGGGGGGAAGGGCAGGGAGGCAGGCTCTCTATTATTTTTTTTTTCAGTTTGGCGTATACAATAGAAACCCCCACAAGTCTGTGAAATATTTCACCAAACAGCAAATCTGTTTCATTTTCAGCAAAACATCTGAAATAAAGTACAATCCTTGGCAAGCTCTTGTCTGCTGTCAGGAAACTCAATCATCTGTGTGTGATTAAATAATAGGGGTAAGTGAAATTATTTTCATCAGGTAATACATATGTAAGAAAATGCAGTTCAGGGGAAACCAGAATAATTTGTGAGCTTGGACTGAATTCAGCATTTAGAAAAAAAATATTTGGAAAATATTTGGAAAACGTTTCATTTCAACATGTTTATAATATTTCAATTTCTTGTTCTGAAACTGTTTTCATTTTAATATTGACCTAAACTTAAAAGAGGAGGGGAGGGGAGGGGAGGAAAAAGGCTGAATAATCAAAAAATTAAAAATAAATGTTTTGTTTGAAAACAACAAACTTTTTTTGGGGGGGAGGGGGGGTTGAACCCATGTTTTCAGTTCAGACCCTAACCAATCCTTTATTTTGCTGTTTTGATTCAGCTCTAGTCTCACACATCTATAAATGATACCAATCGATGAGTAACTGTAGCGTCTACAGGAGATGCTAACTGTGCAGTAGCCTAATAACACTGGACAGTCGCGTGCTGGGCAAAACCCATGCTAATACGCCACTGCACAGTAGTATTAAGCTACTGATCAATCGGTTAGAGTCTGAAAAAACCTGTGCGCTGAATTACTGTGCATTAATTTCGTACTTGCTTATCCAAGTACTAAACGTAATGTGCAGTAATTATGGTGCATAAATGAATGTGCAGGCACACCCACTGAATAGCACAGAAAGGAACTTGCCTATGCAGTGTGCTTTCCCCATCCTGGAACCCCCCTCCCTTTTCTGTCTGCAGTGTTTGCAGAGTTACCCATCTCTGTGCTGTCACCACAGTTGAATAAAACAAGCTTGAGGAATCTCAAAAGACTTACTTGAGAGATCCCGGCCTACTCCTAGGGCAAGTCCATCTTTAATCCACAGCACGATGCCGTTGTACTCAGGGATCGCACACAGCAGGGTCACGGGCTGCCCAGCTATTACCACCTGATCTTGAGGCTGCTGAGTAAAGGAAGATGCTTGACCTGGAGAAAGGGAAAGAGATACAAGAAACAGGGAGAGGGTTACATGCTGCACCTGAAACACTACAAGAAAATGTTATGTTTATAATGCAGTGCGGACAATCATGATCCAATATGCTGAGGTGCTGTTGTATAGACCTTTCCACCACCCGGAGCTACAGTCTGTGCGTCTTGCCTGGGTGATTACTAATTCTCCCCTGAAAACCCCAGGCAGAGTTCAGCAAGGTTCAATTCTTTATCGAGGGAAAAATCTATGAAATAGGTGCCCGATGTTTCCTCCTAGCCTGTTTTATTTGCACACGTCCTGTACACTCTGAACAGAGCTAGCAGGTGCAGTACAAAGGAGTTGCACGGGTATTGCCATTCCCTCAACTCCAGCCCTGATGCATTTTCTCTAGTCGTTCTAGCAATATGACCCATCAGCTCTGGCCTGCAAAGCCCCAGTCAAAGGCCATATCCCATCCCAAGACCTGTGTACCACTTACATCTCATATCAACCCTATTTTGAAGAATTAAATGGCATGCTTTGTACTGGCAATGTGCACAGGGGAGAATTTTGCCTCATCCTGACATAGTTTAGTCAACACATGGTGCTTATCAAAACAGATGCTCTTACCTACTTGAGCATTCAGAGTTCTTGCTGAAAGTGTTTTCAACAGCCAGCTCACTCAAGATACTGTGAAGTTTGTTTTGTTTTTACTATAGCTGAATGCATTTAGCTCTACATTTTAAGATGCTCCCACTACCTATAAGTGTTTTTCTCAAGACACTTGAGCATGGTTTTATAAGCTGCCATGCATCTAACATCCAACTACAGTGTATAGGATCTGAGGGTCATTGAGTGCTCAGCATCTCTGAAGATTACTCATTTGGACACCCCAAAAATGGAGGCAGCCAAAATAATGGTGAATTACAAAATCTGGACCTTAACCATTTTGACTGTACTCATCTCCCAATGAATCAGTAATGTGCATTTCCATACTACTGTTGCCATAATAATCCCAGAGATTTCACAACAGTGAAAGCTATCATTATCATTATGTTGAGACATCCGCTACCTTTTGCACATTTGTGGATTGTTGCTGAAGTTCTTCTAATGGGATTTAGTAATTCAAGCAGAGATGTTATTTGAATTAAAAACTGAAAAATCCCTTTAGTTCTTTATGACTTAAGGGAAAAAAGTTTTGAACCAAACAGAGAAAAAACAAACCCAGTAACCATGCCCATCCACGTTTTTCAGCATAATGGTACAATACCTAAATTTGTGCTGGGAAATAACTCACAGAAGGTTGAACTGAAATAATCCAGCAGCAGGCAGCATGTGGCTAGTTCTGGTTGAGCAGGGGTGGGCAAAATATGACACGTGTAGGCCAGATCCAGCCTGCCAAGTGATTGTTTCTAGCTCACAGCAGGTTCCTCAGCCCCTCCTGGATCACGCGTGGGGGGCAGCCTGGGCCGTGGCATGTGCGGCCAGTCCCAATGCCCCTGGGCACACAGTGGGGCTGGGGCAGCGCGGCAGATGGACTCAGCTTCCTGGCAACCCCAGCAGTGGCAGCTCCTTCTGGGCGGGAGCAGAGTCTGGGAGCAGAAGCAGGAGTAGGATGGGCGGGTTGGGACTGGGTCTGGGATTGGGATCACGAGGTGGTGACAGTGAAAGGCCATGTGGGGAACACACTGCTGCTCTGACCCAGGTCCTGGCCCCATGCTATCAGTACCCAGAGATCCTGGCCCTGGCCCCCCCCCCCCCGCCCATCCCACTCCTAGATGCTGCTCCCCACTCATCCGTGGCCCCATCCTATCTGCCTGGCTGAGTGCACCTTGTCTTCAGGGGGCTTGGCTGGTCTGGAAACCCTGCTTGCCCACCCACCTGCTCTGTCCAGTGCCCCTAGCCATGGATGCGGGCAGGCGGGCCTGGGTCAGATAGGATTTACTGCCTCCCCACTCCCTTCAGCTGTGCTGTGGTGGGTCAGCACTACTGCCAGCTCCCACAGCCTGCAACAGCTCACCAAAACTCCTGAAGTGGCCCTCCAGCCCAAATAATTGCCTACCCCTGTGCTTGAGGAACAGCGCCTCAGCTGAAGTTAGTGGGATGAGTGGGAGAGAAAAGCTAATTACCAATTCACAAGTTAAAAGCAACTGAAACATTTCTTCTGAACATGCTCCATTGGCATCTGCTCAGATTTCAGCTGTTTAATGAGGCCTTGCCCAGTCTGTGGCATCACCAGGAGGCAGAGAAAACTGCACTTATTCTCCCTACTCAGTCTGACGAGAGCTGCAGATGCTGCTGGGATAATATACACAAGGGAAACTATAAGTGCATCATTAGAGAACTTGACAGCGTCCCTTTGTATTTGCAGATAAAAGCAAAACTGCTCAATTATCATGGTGGTGTTGGCTACCCTTTTGCCTAATATTAGAGGACCCTTATCCTCTTTGCTGCTGAGACCTCTAGAGCTAAAAGCACAGGAAGTCCTATCCAGAGACACATCTTCCTTTTCCTCTCCCTTGCTTTCCTTGGAGGCGCAATAGAAGTTGAAATGAAAATGGCAACCAGGGGAGACAATCTGTTTCCACTTGGTCGTCTAAGTGGTCCTTAGGTCTAATAGCTTAGACAACCAAATAAAAGTAAGATCTAGAGCACCAAATGGTAATAGAATATCACCCTTTGTTTTGACATTTTCTAAGCTCAAGTTGTTGGAATTTCTTGTTCCTATTTCAAAAGTGTATGGTTTTGTCCTGATTAAAACAAAATTGCAACAATTTTTCCAAAAGAGAAACTGTGTTTTTCAATTAACTCTAGTGCTAAATGCAGGATCAGATTTGGAATAACCTTGTAGTTCAGTTGTCTGAATCAGAACGCGCTAGATTCTAGTTCCATCTATACTAGAAAGGTAAGAATTAGAAAACAGTTCTGAAAAAAATGACTCTAACCCAAAATATCCACACATATTTTTGATCCATTACTGAAAGGATCTTTTGTATGCTAGGTGTGTGTCCATGTCGGTGTGCATGGGTTTGTTTCAGTGCATATGCATTAGGGCTGTGCAAAGCTTCGGGTGGTGATTTGATTTGGAG